GTCAGAGTAGAACTGCGATCCATAGGGTTTTCAAAGAAAGACTTTTCTACAGTTGATGGCCAGACCTTTCTTCTAAGGTGCTTCTGGAGGTATTTGAACACCCAACCTTTCAGTTAGCTGTCAAGAATGTTAACAGATTACACTACCCACGTACTCCTTCTGAAAGATAGTGTTTCACTAATGGAAAATGCTAATTTGATAGAATAAGAAAGAAGGAATGTTATCTTGTTATTACTGGAGACTACAATCTGTGTAGGACAGCTATGTATAAGGAAGACACCTTTGACCAAAGGAGAGCAGGAGGAAGGAAAAATAAAGATTAAAGAAGCAACAGAAGAGGTGTTGGATGAGCATACAGACATGATCCGATACTGTGTTCAAGTCAGACCTCATCACATCATGGCTGCTCACCAATTTCCCTGAAAGACTTATTTGTCTGCTGGTTAAACCCATTTCCATTATACTGATACTGAGAAAGTGGCTAGCATCATATATGGACGTAGTGAAAAGTTACCTCATTCAATTCTACTGCTTAACAACTTGACATCTCAGAGAAACATAGCATGTACTATTATTTTGGACATTTCTGTTGACATACTCAGGAATTAAGAGTTACTATGTCTTCAATTTAATTTAAATTTAATAAAGAAACAGTGCATGTTTTGGTGGGGGTGACAGAGAGAGATAAACAGACAGAGGGAAATAAATAAAGTAAAAATTGATAACAATTCCTAAATATAAAGGGAAGATGAAAGGATCATTCATTGTCCTATTCTTTCAACTTTTCTTTTTAAAATTATCTTAGCAGAAAATTACAGTCCAACCAACATACTCTCTATCAATGGTAAACGTATGCACTTTTCCCAACATATCAAAATAGCATAGTCAAATAATAATTATTATATAAAATCTTACATACATACATGCATATATGACATAAACTTTACAAATTAAAAAAAAAAAATACTAAAATGCTATATGTAAGCAAATAAATATTCAATATCTGAAGTTCGGTTACCTGGTATGTGACTATGTCAACACAAAACAAACAAACAATGAAAACAATTCAGTTATATGTATTTTGAACCTACTCTAAAGAGATCATGTCTTCAGAGTTACATCCTATCTTTCAAAGCAGAACTTAACAGTTTTGAGGGTGGAAATCATACTTGGTGCTTCATTCATCTATAAGGTGGTCCTTGCCAGGTTCCATCAAAGAAGTTCCCAGAAACTGGAAAGACAAACACATAATTACATGTGGCTCATACCAGAAGTTATGGGTCTGAATCCACCTAAAAACTCCACAAGAGACAAGCCTGGAAAATTGCTTACATAGAGATTATAGACCACAAATCCTATGGCATTCTTTGGTCATCAGGGGCGAAAGAGGAGGAAAGGGTGGGAATATTTTTTAAAAGACCCTTTGGAGCAATTCTGCTATAGAGCACATTGAATTAGCTGAGCTTGGAGCTGACTGATGGCAGTTAACAGCAACCATAATTCTACCACCTCTCTTATTCTCTTCACCCTGTGCTTGGCCTATACTGTTCTGGAACGTGAAGAACGTTGGGAATATTGTGATGTCTAAGGAGCTCTGGTATCGTAGTGGTTACGAATCGGGCTGCTAACCTCAGGGTCAGCAGTTCAAAACTACCACTGGTTTCTAGTAGAAAGATAAGACCTTCTGCTCCCATAAAGACTTACAGCCTCAGAAACCCTATGCCCGGTCGCTATCAGTTCGAACCGACCACGGCACATAACTACCATGCATAGCTATAGAGTCCTGGTGTGGTGCTGTGAGTTAATGAGCCGCACTGCAATATTTATGGTTCAAGCTCACCAGCTACTCCTCGGAAATCCTATACAGGGTCACTATGGGTCCGAAGTCGGCACTTCACAATAACAAGTACAGATATTCTCTGGTTCCCATAAGATTTTATAAAAACTCAACTTTGTGCAGATTTATTTTTAATTGAAATAATGAAAGATATAAAGCTAAGATATTAAAGTAAGAATATCTCATACTTCAATGTAAGATTTTGTTTCTCATGACATCTTTAGTCTTGTGAAAGTTTGTTTTTATTTGTTGTATTTCTCCTTTTAAAGCCATAATAACCAGAAAAAGAACTAAAACTAAGTTAAAATAAGGTATTGATAAATGTAGTTTTAAATTATTTTCCAATCCACTATTCAAATGTGAGGACAATGTCTTTATTCTTTGAGTAATCAAC